TTTTTTTTTTTTTTTTTTTTTTTTTTTTTTTTTTAGTACAGGAGGAGTTGGGTATGATGGTGCACTTGTGTAATCCCAGCACTTGAGGGGTTGAGGCAGGTGGATCTTTTGAGTGAGTCCAGCCTGGCCTATATAATGAGTTCAAAGCCAGCTTGAACTACATAGCGAGAGCTTGTCTCAAAGAAAAAAAAAAAAGTACGTGAGATTGAACCTAGAAGCATTCTACCACTGAGCTACATCCCTAGCCCTTTTCACTTTTTATTCGTGACTCTAACTTGTGATCCTTCTCTCTCAGCCTCCTAAGTAGCTAGGATTATGACGGCTGGTAATTCTGAAACTAAAATGTAATGTAGCATGAATATTTTTGTATTTATGCTAGTGTCACCCAGAGCTAAGAAATGTGTGAAATTCTCCTATACTAAACCAAGAAGAATCTTAAAGACAGACAACAGTAGAAGAGAAGGAGCAAGAAAAGAAGCCATTAATTCTCTTTATATATATTTTTGCTTATTTCTCTGCTCAATTAATTTTCAGTTTGAAAACTGAGTACCTTTTGAGATACATAGCTAGATATTATTTCTCAATACACTGCTATTCTTTTTTTTTTTTTGGTACCGGGGATCAAACTTGGGCCTTTGCGAGGCAGGTGGCAGCACCACTGAGCCAAATCCCCTGCAGTTTCTCAATACGCTATATCATGTCATCAAAAGTTAAATAGCATCTTAGCTCATTGTCAGATATGTATATATACAATTTTTTTGTGGGAATATGCACACATATATATCCATAAATGCACGTATACATTCATATAACATTTATATAAATACATTTGAATATGGTGAGGAGTGAGTAAATATTAATAAATAACACTTCCTGTGTCTCAAACATAACATGATCTGCCTTCAGCTGACTTCCTGTGCCTAAGGAAGGTTGACTATCCCAAATAAATGAAGTGTAGGTAAGATTATTATGAGGAAACGAGAAGCTGGGTGTGGGGGGCACGATCAAGCTACTGTCTGACTGGGACAGAAGAAACTCTGCCCTGGGAAGACCAAGAGTTCGGTGTCTGTTCTGAAGGGTTTTGGCCGACGTAATTTCCTCCATTCCCCTATGAGAGATGTGATCAACAAACACAATGAATGTTTAATTTTTTAAAATTATTTTAGTAAAACACACATCACCATTAACCCTCCTCCAAATACTCCTGCTCCCTTTAAACATACTCATTCCATCATTCTTGTCATTTTCTGAAAAAAGTTCTCAAACTCCTCTTTCGAGCACATATTTGACTTCACTGTTGTGGCTGAATGGATTGAAAATGGTTACCTTTCGTGCTCATTTTGACTTTGGGGAAGAGCCGGAAGTCCCGCAGTGCCAGATTCAGTGAATAAGCTGGACGAGGAAACACCATGATGCTTTTAGATAGCACTGGGCAGCATCATTCACCATTTTTTTTTAATCACACCTTTTAAAGACACTCATGAAAGAGGACTTCCAGAACTGCTTCAGAAAGCGGTAAGTATGCTGGGATAAATGCGTTTGGAGGGAAGAGGAGTATTTTCAGTGAGATTAATGGCCGTGTGTGGTTGACTATAATAAATTTTTAAAATTTCAGCATTCACCTTATATCTCGATCACATCACCTATAATCCTCTGTGTCCTGGGTTGGACCACTTTGTGCCACATATGACACAGTCTGCAGATGCTTTTAACAGAGAAAGCTTTGAATCGATTGGGCTCAGCTTAGTGAAGCTGTAGTGTCCAGATAGCCAGGCTTTTTGTCCCCAGTCCTGCAGGCTGAGCAGACATTCTGCCAGCTGTCCTTTTCCCGCTCCTTGCTCACACACCTGAGCTCCCTCCTGCGGAAGAGTCGGGTAAACCACCCCGGCCCAGCTCCCAACCTCTCCACCTGCGCTGTGCTGAACAATCACATGGGTCCCTTTCAACTCCATCCTCGTCTCCACCTCACTTCCTTCCCCCTCTCCTTCCCTCTCTCTGATGACCCCTCCAGAGAGCTGGGAAATTCCTAGGCTGATCAATAAGTGGCTAAAGGTGACTTCTGTTTTTCCATTCTTCTGTCCTATGGAAAAATTTCCTTTCCCTCAGCTTTAGTGCCTTTTCTAAAATAATGTTTTGGCATCTGTGTCTTTCCCTTTATCCCCTTGAGCATTTATGTTCTTTTTCACCTGGCTGATTTCTAAAAATACAGTATGCTTACTCAGATATTTTATCTTTATGATCTGAAAAATGCTGTCGAATTAGACACAAAGTGACCTAATATCCCATCTGCCAAAATCATTCACAGAACGGCTTGGAGGGAAGGTCACAGAACAGCTTGGATAATCTTGTTTTAAGTGTTGCATTTATTTCCTGCAGGTTGCTAATTTGGGAGTAGCAGTAATTCATTTAACATTTACTGGGGACACAGAACTGACTATGCAAAGAGGAAACTGCCAAAAGCAAGTAGACAGCATCCCTACTCTCAGTGAGGATGGAAACACAATAAAGTTGTAAATAAGTGATATAAATTTTGCATAATGGTAACATCTACAGAGACAGAAAGGATGGCATAGGGTTGGGGATTTAGCTCAGTGGTTCCGTCCCCTGCCTTGCAAGCACAAGGACCCAAGTTCAATCTCTGGTACCAAAAAAAAAAAAAAAAAAAAAAAAAA